AGTGCTGCAATGAACATGCATGCATGTGTCTTTATAATAGAATGATTTATAATCCTTTGGGTATGTACCCAGTAATGGGATTGCTGGATCAAATGGAATTTCTATTTCTAGGTCCTTGAGGAAGTGCCATACTGTCTTCCCTGTCTTCCACAATGGCTGGACTAATTTACACTCCCACCAACAGTGTAAAAGTGTTCCTATTTCTCCACATCCTCTCCAGCATCTGTTATCTCCAGATATTTTAATCATTGCCATTCTAACTGGCATGAGGTGGTATCTCAATGTGGTTTTGATTTACATTTCTCTAATAACCAGTGATGATGAGCAGGTTTTCATATGTTTGCTGGCCTCATATATGTGTTCTTTTGAAAAGTATCTGTTCATATCCTTTGCCCACTTTTGGTTGGGTTTGTTGGTTTTTTTTTTTTTTTCTTGTAAATCCATTTTAGTTCTTTGTAGATTCTGGATATTAGCCCTTTGTCAGATGGGTAGATTGCAAAAATTTTTTCCCATTCCATTGGTTGCCGGTTCACTCTAATGACGGTTTCTTTTGCTGTACAGAAGCTCCGGAGTTTAATTAGGTCCCATTTGTCTATTTTGGCTTTTGCTGCCAGTGCTTTTGATGTTTTAGTCATGATGTCCTTACCTATGCCTATGTCCTGAATGGTTTTGCCTAGGTTTTCTTCTAGGGTTTTTATGGTGTTAGGTCTTATGTTTAAGTCTTTAATCCATCTGGAGTTAATTTTAGTGTAAGGTGTCAGGAAGTGGTCCAGTTTGATACTGCCCAAAGTAATTTATACATTCAGCGCTATCCCTATCAACCTACCTATGACCCTCTTCACAGAACCACCTTAAACTTCATGTGGAACCAAGTTTAAGGAGAAAACCACCTTAAACTTCATATGGAACCAAAAGAGAGCCTGCATAGCCAAGACACTCCTAAGCAAAAAGAACAAAGCTGGAGGCATTATGCTACCTGACTTAAAACTATACTACAAGGCTATAGTAATCAAAACAGCATGGTACTGATACCAAAACAGAGATAGAGACCAATGGAACAGATCAGAGGCCTTAGAGGCAATGCCACACATCTACAACCATCTGATCTTTGACAGACTTCACAAAAACAAGCAATTGGGAAAGGATTTGCTGTTAATAAATGGTGTTGGGATAACTGGCTAGCCATGTGCAGAAAATAGATTTCTTTATGCCTTAAACCATTAAGTCTTCAGCAACTGCCAAAAGGTTCTTTGTATGTGTGGGCATATGTTTTTCTCTTCGGCAGGCAGGTTGCAACTCTGCCTTAGTCACTCCTTGCTTATACAGAGCCTCAGTGTAAGCCACAGATGACGGCCTTCTCAGGCTTTTCCTGGGGCTGAGTTCTTGGTGGAAAAAGAAAACAAAACCCAGTACATTGGTTACAGTTTGAATTACACACATGTCAAGTGATTACCAATAAAGTTTATGAACTCATCATCTCTCACATTCGCCATATTATTGTTAGCAGAATTATCTAAAACATGCTTCAGAAACTTAGAGGTTTGAAAGTACAGAGGAATATGTATACATGAGATATGTATGACAAGCATACATATCTAAGTGGTAGAAAAACACCCCAGAGGAAATCTTTCTTCTGATCTAGAACAGACCTTAGCCAGATGTGATCTAAGTTGATTTCTTTGCCTGAGTAGTCAGCTAATCAGGGCTCTTAGTTTACTAGATCATGGATCAGAATGATTATAAGATTACAAGTAGGAATTCTCAATACAAACTGCTTGGATTTGAATCTAGACTCTTCTGCTTCTTTGACCTTGGTCAAGGCACCTAACATCTCTGTGCCTCACTTTCCTTATTTGTAAATAGCACCTTCCTGATTGTGATGATTCATCCAGTACATTATAAGCCCTTAGAGCAGTCTCTAACACATAATAAACATTATTCTCACAGAAGTGGATAGAGTAGTTTGAATCCCTTAACCCTATTGCCCTTAACCCTATTGCCCCTCTTAAACAGTTATCAGCCCATGAACAATCACATTTCATCTGTAATCCTTCCCTCACTAATTATCTCAATACAAATACACACATTATATTATTTAATCTATATTTTATTATATATCTCTAATTGTTTTAAAAATTCTTAGTACTATACAATATTATTATTAATACAGCTTAAAAATTAACACTGAGCCTTTGTTTCATCAAATACTCATTTGGTATATGTTTTCCCAGTTGATTCATATGGTATAATTGGTTAATATATCTCTTAGGTCACTTTTAATATAGAAGTTTCCCCCTCTTTCTTTTACCACTTTGTAACTGTTTATTAAAGAAATCAGGTTATTGGTACTTCAGAGCTATGTTGTCCAATACAGAAGCCACTAGCCACATGTGACAACTGACCACCTGAAATGTGACTGGTCTGAATTTAGATGGGCTGTATATTTAAAATACACACCAGACTTCAAAGACAGCATGATAAGATAATATAAATTATCCCACTAATAATTTTTATATTGATGAGTGTTGAAATGATAACATTTTATCTATTTGGACTAAATAAACATTAAAACTAATTTTACTTGTTTCTTTTTGTTTTTAATGTGGCCTCTAGCAAATATAAAATCACTTATATGGCTTGCGTTATATTTTTATTGGGCATCATTAATTTAGAATTTCACATACTATGTATTTTACTGATTACATCCCCATGGAATTATTTAACATGCTCCTCTGCCCCTGTTCGTATTGCCTTTAAATTGTTCATTAGATCCTTGATCAGATTCAGAGTTTGATTTTTTGTTTGTTTGTTTTTATTTTTTAAGTAGGGTCTCACTTTGTCAACCTCCTGGGCTCAAGGGATCCTCACACATCAGCCTCTCAAGTAGCTGGGACCACAGGCATGCACCACCACACCCAGCTAACTTTATTTTATTTTTTGTAGAGAGGGGATCGCTCTATGTTGCCTAGGCTAGTATTGAACTCCTGAGCTCAAATGACCCCCCTGTCTTGGCCTCCCAAAGTACTGGGATGAAAGGCATAAGCCACTGCACCTGGCTAAGATTTTGATTCTTTAAAATATTTTCAGCAATGTCATTTCATATTGCTGGTATATACCACCAGAAGATATATACTATCCAACTGAGGCCTTTCTCTTATTTTAGCAGCTAGTGATGATTTTTTTTTTTTTTTTCTTTTTCTAAGACAGAGTCTTGGTCTGTTGCCCAGGCTGGAGTGCAGTGGTGTGATCTCGGCTCACTACAACTTCCACCTCCCTGGTCCCAGTTCAAGCAATTCTCCTACCTCAGCCTCCCAAGCAGATGGGATTACAGGCATGAGCCACCATGCTCAGCTAATTTTTGTATTTTTTAGTAGAGATGGGGTTTCACCATCTTGGCCAGTATGGTCGTGAACTCCAGACTCATGATCCACCCACCTCGGCCTCCCACAGTGCTGGATTACAGGCATGAGCCACTGTGCCCAGCCTGCATTTCTTTCTTTCTTTTTTTAATTTATAAAGAACAGAAATTTATTTTCGTATTGTTCAAGAGGGTAAGAAGCCCAAGATCATCAGGGTGCCGACAGGTTCAGTGTCTGGTAAAGACCTGGTCTCTACTTTCAAGATGGTGCCATGAGTGCTGCTTTCTCTGGAGGGAATGTTTTGTCTTTACATGGTGGAAGGCAGAAGGACTACAGAGCCTAGTTAGTTCCCTCCCGCCCTTTTATTAAGTTGCTTATCCCATTCATGAGGGTTCTACCCTCATGATTTAATCACCTCCTAAAGGCCTCACCACTTAATACTGTTGCATATGGGATTTACGGTTGGTTGGTTTGTTTTCTGAGATGCAGTCTCACTTTGTCACCCAGGCTGGAGTGCAGTGGTATGGTTTTGACTCACTGCAACCTCCGCCTCCCAGTTTCAAGTGTTTCTGTTGCTTCAGCCTCCCCTGTAGCTGGGGCTACCAGCCTGCATTTCTGTCTTCTCTCCCATGTCAAATGTATTAGTTCTCAATGACATCAGTATGCTAATTTGTTTTATCCAGCACTACACACACAACAGTTACACAATAGCATGTCTATCACTGTAATTAATATGATTATTTACTGAAACATTTGGGTTTTATTTTTATTTTGCAGTTATTTTTCTCAGGGTATATCTTGTGAAGCATATACCGAAAAATCACTCAAAATAGTTCCTCTCTCATGAATGGGTATGCTGCCACCTGGTTTCATGTTACTCTTAATTATTTAGGGATTGGTTTTTTAAAGTTTTTATTTCATTTATAATATAAAGTATTTACATGGTTCAAAAGTCAAATCTACAAAACAAATATTCAAAGGAGTCTAGCCTTCATTCCAGTTCTCTCTACTCTACTTCCTCTTTTTCCCAGTAGGTAACCATTAAAAATGTTTATGGCCTATTCTTCCATGTTTTAATACATATTCATATCCTGATCAAAGAACTTCCCCAAAGTTCCTTGATTTATTTTTATTTTACAAAAAGAAAGTTTATAGTATTCTATATTCACAATACAAATGATAAAATATATCTTTTAGTAAGCCATAGTCTATCGATTAGAACTGAAAGAAAATTGATATTTTAAATAAGCCAGCGTTTTAAGGAAGAAAGATGATTTGGGTGCAAACTGCTGGCTGTTACCAGATATTTTAAATACTTCCTGGGGAAGGAGGAAACCATGCTATTTGCCTCCAGATACTATAGTAGAGACAATATTTATCATTTATAGGAAGCCAGACTTGGTCTGAAAAGAAATCCTGCCATCAGATGAAACCCTGAAGATGATATAGGCAGCATCTTATGGTTTCAAGTTCTTGTCACTGGAGAGATTTATACATCCTATAAAGGATGAACTGGTTGACCTACATAATCATTTGGTGATTCTGGTTTCTGGGGCTCTTCCCCATTTTTTTTTCATGTGTAATTCTGCCTAACAAGTCTAATTATATAGTCTCTGATTGATCACAATGTAATTGTTTTAGGAATCAGTGACATTTAAGGATGTGGCTATAGACTTCACATTGGAGGAGTGGAGGTTGATGGACCCTATACAGAGGAACCTGCATAAGGATGTAATGCTTGAGAATTACAGGAATCTGGTCTTTGTGGGTAAGGATAACTTCTCTTCTATATTGATTGATCTGCCTATTTAACCAGGTTTGCCAAAGATAAAGGACCTCTAAAGTATTTAACTGAAGTACTAGATCTTAGGGGCACATTGTTGGGTTATGCTGTTCCTCACTCTTAAGTACATGATCTGCCCTTTGTAGACTAAGACACATGCATTTCACTGGAATCTTGGAGATTGTTGACAACCCCACAGATTCGGGACCAAAGTTTTTTCTAGTTACTTCCTTAAATGGAAGTTATCAGTACCTCTAGAAGTAAGAAACAAATGTATTCAATTTCTTTCTAAACTCAGATTATTCCCATGATCTATTATCCCACCAAACCAGAATCATGGTGTTCAGCCCCTTTGAGATGTCTTTGTAATTGTCTAAAACATCACTGTACAATATGGCAGGTACTAGTCACTTGTGGCTTTTGAGCCCTTGAAATTTGGCTAGTTCATCTGAAGAACTGAATTTTAGATTTTACTTAATTTAAATTCAAATTTAAATAGCCATATGTGACAGTTGGTAACTGTATTGGACCGTGTGGCTCTAAAACTTCCTGTAATGGTCATTCTGCACGGAAGATTAAGAACTGAGACTGAATTTGGCAGTAGTTCTTGCTCATGGCTCCAATCAAATTCTATTTATTTCTCTCTGGACAGGGCTTGCAGTTTCTAAACCAGACATGATATCTCATTTGGAGAATGGGAAAGGACCATGGGTGACGGTGAGAGAAATTTCAAGAATGCCCTATCCTGGTGAGTTATACAGAACCAAGAAGATGGGATTTATTTCAAGTAACAGACCATGGCGGGTTGTTCAGTGGAACATCTGAAATAATTTTGGAGATATATTTGTTCATAGCTGTTTCAGAGGAAAAGACCCCCATCTCTCTTCCTGTCCCTCTCACCCGCATCTTATCTCACCCTCTCTCTCTGTTCTCCACTTTTGGGAATCATCTCATCCTACTCTGCTTTACTGGGGACATGCTTTTCATAATGATTCTTTTATTTCTTCTTCATTCAAACATACATAAAATATCCTTTTCAGGTCTGTCTTCTCCAGTTAACTTTATGTTTCTTTTTTATTTTTTTGAGATGGAGTTTCTCATTTGTTTCACCATTATCTGACATTTCTTCCTTCATTTACCTGAAAATGCTTTTATAAGGGTCCCCACTGATTTCTCTTAAGGCAAACTTATTTACTCATTATTTAGTTTTCTGCACCTGCAAGGTTGCAGAGACTTTGGAGGAACCCACCATCTCTCCTCCAGGTTCTTAACTAATTTAGAATACAAATAAGGAATCAGTTGATAATCAAAATATAGTATTGGTGTATTTAATCAGTATTGTACATCTATATGCTGTGAACTGGGTTAGGTACTAGGGCTACAGCAGTGAATAAAATGGACCAGGTCCCTGCCTTCATGAAGATTAAATTTTGAGAAATAGATAACTGGCAAACAAATAAAAACAAGCTAAATGGTGGTTGTAATACCTCCCAGCTTCGAGATAAATCAGAGGATAAGTAAGAGTAACTGGGGTGGGATGAAGACACCTGCTTCAAACAGGGTGGTCAGGGGAGCTTCTGAAGAGGTGAAATTTAAGCTGAGACCTGAAGGGTCAGAGAAGCAGCCAGTGAGGGGAAGAGGAAAAGAGAAGCATTCCAGGTTTAGGGAGCAACAATGCAAAGGATCTGATACAGCAAAGAATGCCATGTGTTTTAGAAATCGAAAGGAAGCTGCTGTGACTAAAGTAAGGGGAAACTGATATAGAATAAGATTAGAGATGTAGGAGCTGGCCTGTGCAGGGCTTTGTAGATGATCTAAGTGAATTCCAGAGCATGGAGAGATTTTACTGCAGAATTTTTAGAAAATAACCCTGTTTATAGAGAGTGAACTTGAGGCATAAAGCAGGTGGTAAAAGACTGTTAAAATAATCTATGCAGGAGATGATAGTAACTTTGATTAGGGTGATGGTAGTGGAGATGGAAAGAAATAATAGATTTTGGTTCATTTAAGCATTCATTTGATTATGATGCAATAAACAAGTCACACATGCATTATTTTATATATCATAAAAAATTACATATTTTTTATATATCAGATATTATTTATATTTAAAAGAGTGAGTGAAAAGTCGATGTTAGAGATAGTTTTAGATAACTTTTTAGAGAGGGATTTTTCTTCCCCTATGAAAAGGGAAAGATAAATGGAGCAGTGGCTAAAGGAAATAATGGATTCAAGAAAAAGCACTTGTTTTATTTTTGAGATGGGAGCTTCCGTGACATGTGTGAGTACTGATAGGATTGCCTTAATGGAGAGAGAGTCATTGGTGTTGCAAGACAAAGATGAAGGACTAAAGTGTTTGATTGGGTTAAAGGAGATAAAATCTAGAACGGAAAGGGAAGATTTACCTTTAATAGGTAGAGAGGTCACCTCCTGTTTGTAATACTGAGAAAGGTGGAGAAGACAGGTACACCTGCAGGTCAATTGAGGGCAGGAAGATTGAAGCCACTGTTATGATAGCTGCCATATTATCTACAATGTGAGGCAAGATCATCAGCTTATGGTGAGGGAAGAAAAAGTTGTAAGAGAGGGAAAGTTATTTTTTATGCTACTGGAATTCACCAGGGAAGCCATCTTGGCCTGAAGCTTTTACTGAAAAAGGTGTTTAATTATAGCTTCTGTACCTTTTTTTTTTTTTTTTGAGAAGGAGTCTCACTCTGTCACCAGGCTGGAGTGTAGTGCAGTGGCACGATCTCCACTTACTGTAACTTCCACCTCCCAGGTTCAAGTGATTCTCCTGCCTCAGCCTCCTGAGTAGCTAGGACTATACTATAGGCACTGCTACCACCACGTCTGGCTTTTTTTTTTTTTTTCTTTTTGTATTTTAGTAGAGACAGGTTTTCACCATGTTGGCCAGGATGGTCTCGATCTCCTGACTTCGTTATCCACCTGCCTCGGCCTCCCAAAGTGCTGAGATTACAGGCACGAGCTACTGCACTCAGCCTTCTATACCTTTACTTCTTACAACTATTCATATTTCCTATTTCTTTTTGTTTCAGTTTAGCAAATTATGTTTATCTAGGGATTGTTCCATTTAATCTAAATTTTTAATTTATTGGCATGCTATTCTCTGTTTATCATTTACGTGTTTATACAGATGTGAAGTGATGTGCCACTTCTTATTCCTGATACTGGTTTATTTGTGTCATTCTTATTTTGTCTCACTCAGTCTTGCTTGAGTTTATCAGTCTTACTTGGCTTTTTTTTCCCTTTGAGACAGGGTCTCATTCTGTCTCCCAGGCTGGAATGCAGTGGTGTGATCATAGCTCACTGCAGCCTGGAACTCCTGGGCTCAAGTGATCATCCTCCTGCCTTATCCGCCTACATAGCTGGGATTAGAGGCATGCACCACCATACCTGATTTTTTTATTTTTTGTAGAGGTAGGGGTCTCACTATGTTGACCAGGCTGATCTCAAACTCCTGGGCTCCAGCTATCCTCCCACCTCAGCCTCCCAAATTGCTGGAATTTCAGGTGTGAGCCACCACGCCTGACATTACATGACTTTTTTAAAAGAACTATTTTTAGTAGTTTTTCTTTTATGTTTGAGTTTTATTACTTTCTGATCTTTATTATTTTATTACATTATTAGAGCTTTATTTGTGGATCTTTTCTAACCACTTGAATTAGATATTTATATCATTGATTTTCAGCTCTTCTTTTCTAATTGTTTAGGGCTATCAGAACTATGTCACATTTTTTATATAGCATCTTCATAATTTTTGAGTGGAAAATATTTTATAATTTCTATTGTGATATCTTTTATCCTTGGGTTATTTTAAAATGTTTTTGTTAATTTTATGCCATTTGGGAATTTTCTAGCAATCTTGTTGACTTTAGTTCTTCTGTGGTCAGACAACATGCTCTGAATTATGTCAGTCTTAGCAGAATTTTGTACACATTTTGTGCTCTAGAAAAAATGTATAGCCTAGGTATTGAGTATTAAGTACAATTTCTAGATGTGTCAGGAGATTAAGTTTGTTAGTTATGTTAATATTTATATACTTACAGCTTATTCTATTATTTGAGAAAGTTTTTTTTTTAAGTCTACCAGTGAGACTAGACATTTGTTTCCTATTTAGTTTATTTAATTTTTTTTCTTTCTGTACTTGAAGCTGTGTTATTATGTAATACAAAGTTATCACTATGGTAAATTGGCTTTTGTCGTTATGAAGTATCTTATTTCTTAATGGTTTTTGCCTTAAAGTCTGTTTTGCCTGATATCAGTATTATTACAGCATCTTTCTTTTGGTTGTTGTTTGTATAGTACATCTTTTTTTCATCTGCTCACTTTCACCATCTGTGTATTCTTGTACTTTTTGCCTGTATTTTATAAGTAGTATATTGTTAATTTTTTAACCAATCTGACAATTCATGTCTTTCGAAGTTCAGTCTCTTTGTACCTAGTACATTTACATAATGTTTAACTCTGCCATTTAACTGTGAAAGTGTTTTGCCCATTCTGTATTCTTTTTCTTTCCATTCATGCTTTCCTTTCGATTTACCACCTTTTGGCCAAGCCTGGTGGCTTGTAATCCCAGCACTTTGGGAGGCCAAGGTGGGCAGATCACCTGAGTCAGAAGTTCGAGACCAGCCTGGCCAACATGGAGAAACCCTGTCTCTACTGAAATACAAAATTAACTGGGCATGGTTGCACACGCCTGTGATCCCAGCTACTTGGAAGGCTGAGGGAGGAGAATCACTTGAACCCAGGAGGCGGAGGTTGCGGTGAGCTGAGATTGTGCCATTGCACTCCAGCCTGGGCAACAAGAGCAAAACTCCCTCTAAAAAAAGAAAAAAAGATTTATCTCCTTTTGTTGTTTGATTTCCCCTCTCTAGTCACTTGGTAATTATAATATTTTAAATTATTTGTTCAGTAGTTAACCCTGAGATGAAACCCTGCATCCGTGATTCAATAGTTATATGTAGGTTTTTCTCTCTTCCCAGGCAATAAAAATATCTTAGAGCAGCTTATTCTGTTTAACCTCACATATATTACTGAAATTATATATTTTAATTCTATATATGTCAGACCGTGTAAGACACTATTATGTTTCATGCAGTTGATATTCATTTAAACTTACATTTTTGCTTTTCCTTTCTCTTCATTTTTTTCAATGCTGAGCTTGTATCTGAGATTATTTTTCTTCTGCCTAAAAAAAATCCTTTAATATTTCCTTTTACTCAGATATGCTTATGCCATATTCTCTTCTCTTTTTTTTTCTGAAAATATCTTCATTTGACCTTCATTTTGAGGGGATCTTTTTGTTACGTTTGGAACTTTAGATTGGCAGTTATATTCTTTCAGTATTTCAAAGGTATCATTTATTGTTTTCTGTCTTACATAGAATCTGTTGAGAAGTGCACTGTCTGTCTAAACTTTTATATAAAAGGCAAGGCAGCAATATTTTCGGCTTTGTAGAATCATAAGGACTCTGCTGCCACTACTTCACACTGCCAGTGTAGCACCAAAGCATCTATAGGCAACACATTAACCAAGTAATGTGGTTGTGCTCCACTTACAGACTCTGAAATTTGAATTTCATACATTTAAATGTGTCACAATATCATTCTTTTGACATATTTTTCAACCACTTTAAATGTAAAAATTGGCTAGCGTGGTGGCTCATGCTTGTAATCCTAGCACTTTGGGAAGTTGAGGCGGGCGGATCACTTGAGGCCAGGAGTTTGAGACCAGTCTGAGCAATATGGTGAAACCCCATCTATACTAAAAATATAAATTTTAGCCAGCCCAGGCATACTGGTGTGATCTTGGCTCACTGCAACATGCACCTCCCAGGTTGAAGTGATTCTCCTGCTTCAGCTTCCCAAGTAACTGGAACTACAACAGGCGCCTGCCACCGCACCCGGCTAATTTTTGTAGAGACAGGGTCTCACCATATTGGCCAGGCTTGTCTCTTAACTCCTCCTTGTGATCCACCCGCTTGGCCTCCCAAAGTGCTGGAATTACAGACGTGAGCCACCGTGCCTGGCCCTGTCTCTCTTTTTTTGGCTGCTTTTAAGAGTTTAGTTTTCAACAGTTTTACTATTGTGTGCTTTAGTGTAGTTTTCTTCATATTTCTCACACTGAAGATTCATTTGGCTTTAAGGTTTGTGACTTGGTTTTTTTTGTCTGTTTGGAAAATTCTAAGGTATATTTCTTAGACTTAGCTTCTGTCCATTCTCTCACTCCTCTTTTTAACCTTCTAGGACTCTGATTACATCTGTGATAGACCTTTTCACCTTTCGTGGATGTCTCTTATGCTTTTCTAGTGTTTGCAAGTTTTTCATCATTTTATGCTTCAATATGGATACTTTATACTGACCTATCTTCCATTTTGCTAACTCTCATGTGCTATCTCTACTGTGCTCTTGTCTCATACTTAAAGTTACTATATTAATTTTTCAGTTCTAGAATTTTTATTTGGTTATTTTATACTTTACAAATCTTTGTGAGATTGTTAATCTTATGTTCTTAAACATAGTAATCCTAGTTATTTTAAAGTTTATGTCTGAGACCTTAATTATCTGGATTTATTTTAGATTTTAGATCTGTTTCTCTCTTGATTTTTTTCCCATGTCACTTTTGTCTCTCTTTTTTTTTTTTTGAGACAATGTCTTGCTCTTTTACCAGGCTGGAGTGCAGTGGTGCAATCTCAGCTCACTGCAACCTCTGCCTCCAAGTGATTCTCCTGCTTTGGCCTCCTGAGTAGCTGGGACTATAGGCACACGCCACCACACCTAACAAAATTATTTTTGTATTTTTTAGTAAAGATGGGTTTTGCCATGTTGCCCAAGCTGGTCTTGAACTCCTGACCCAGGAGATCTGCCCATATTGGCCTCCCAACGCGCCGGGATTACAGGTGTGAACCACCATGCCTGGCCTTGTCTCCATTTAGGCCTGTTATTTTTGATTGGGTATCACACATTGACTATGAAAATCTATGGCAACAATAAGAGGTTCTAGATTATGTAATCTTTCCCATAGAGAATTAATGTTTGCTTTTGTCAGGCTGCTAGGCTAGGAGCTATAACAATCTTCAGTCGCTTTAATTCAATAAGAAATTTAAATGAGGTGGGTTTTAGTCCTTGAGTGAGCTGGTCTATTTCCTAATCATTCTATTTGTAGGGCTTATCCCCTTAAGTTTCCAGCCAAACCCTAGTTTTTCTAGATTGTCCTTTTTAGAGGACCTAAATCCGTCTGTCTTTGTTGCCCTATGAGTTTATAAAAAGTTCTGCTTAATTATTCAGCATCTCAGTCATTTCTTAGAGAATTAACAGGCATTTGAAAGGGAAAATGGCACCAAATACCTGGATCCTTTTTTTAGTTTTCATTCTTCTCTTGTAATTTTGCTTTGTTTTGTTTTGTTTTGAGACGGAGTAGACGGAGTTTCACTCTTGTTACCCAGGCTGGAGTGCAATGGTGTGATCTTGGCTCACGGCAACCTCCACCTCCCGGGTTCAGGCAATTCTCCTGCCTCAGCCTCCTGAGTAGCTGGGATTACAGGCACATGCCACCATGCCCAGCTAATTTTTTGTATGTTTAGTAGAGACGGGGTTTCATCATGTTGCCCAGGATGGTCTCGATCTCTTGACCTCATGATCCACCCACCTCAGCCTCCCAAAGTGCTGGGATTACAGGCTTGATCCACTGTGCCCGGCCTATTTTTAAAGTCTTTCTAGCTTTCAGATGCTTCCAAACAGATTTTGTTTCTTTTGTCCAACTTTTTGAATTGTTCTCAGCAATTAAGTTGGTCCAAATTACTTAATCTGGCATCCCTAAAGTGCAGACCTCTCAAATATAAGAGGTTTTATTTCTGTTTTTCATTCTTATTGTCTGAGATTAACATTTTGCTTTCATTCAAGAAAGATGAGAATTTAGTGCATATAAATTAATGAAAATTCTACAAGTAAATTTATTGAAGAAAATTTCTAATTGCTAATATAACATTTTTGTACTCTAAGCTTTTATAAATTTAGTGCATTTTGTAGCAAATTTTTCTGCTTTCCAACTTCTTATTCTTTGTCCTTTTAAATTTATTATTAGTTCCTGAATTCCAAATTGGTGCTACAGATATGTTTTCTATAAGTTTTCTTCTCCTTTTATTTTATTTTTGAGACAGAGTCTTGCCATGTTGCCCAGGCTGGAGTGCAGTGGCGCAATCTCAGCTCACTGCAACCTCTGCCTCCCAGGTTCAAGCAGTTCTCTGGCCTCAGCCTCCCAAGTAGCTGGGATTACAGGCATGTGTCACCACACCCTACTAATTATTATTTTTTTAGTGGAGACCGTTATCAACCACATTGGCCAGGCTGGTCTCAAACTCCTGGCCTCTGGTGATCCACCCACCTCAGCCTCCCAAAGTGCCGGGATTACAGGCATCAGGCATGGTGCCCAGCCTTCTTTTATTTCTTTCTTGCCCAGCCTTCTTTTATTTATTTATTTATTTTGAGACAGGGTCTTACTTTTCAGGTTGTAGTACAGTGATGCAATCATAGCTCACTGCAGATCCTCTTAACTTCAGCTTTCTAAGTATTTAGGATTACACATGTGTACCACCATGTCCGGCTCATTTTTTATTTTTTGCAGAGACCAGGCCTCACTGTGTGGGCCACACTGGTCTTAAACTCCTGGGCTCAAGCAGTCTTCCTGCTTTAGCCTCCTAACGTGCTGGGATTACAGGCATGAGCCACCATACCCAGCCTTATAGCTTTTCTTCTGACAGCAAAAGTTTTTTTTTTTAATCAGATTTTGGCAATATAATATCCTAGGACAACGAAAAATATGCTCAAATGAATTAAAACCATTTAAAGGTAAAAGAAAAGAATGATAAAAATAGCAACAGCATGACAGAAAATTAAATTTTATAAAAGTAAAGTAATTTAGACAAATCGTACTGCTTAAAAGTGAGTTTTAAAGTCATAGAACTAGCTGGGCACAGTGGCTCACAGCTGTAACCCAGCATTTTGGAAGGCTGAGGAGGGTAGATCACTTGAGGCCAAGAGTTGGAGACCACCTTGGCCAACATAGCAAAACCCTTTCTCTACTAAAAATTAGAAAAATTAGCTGAGTGTGGTAATGCATGCCTGTAATCCCAGCTATTTTGGAAGCTGAGGCACAAGAACCACTTGAACCCAGGAGGTGGAGGTTGCAGTGAGCTGAGATTGCACCACTGTACTCCAGTCTGGGCAACAATGAAACTCTGCCTCAAAAATAAAAAAATAAAATAATAAAGTCATAAAATCATTCTACCATCTGCACGCATTTTTACTGAATTTATATTTAAACATTGAGGCACAATTACCTGAAAATGAATTAGAAGTTTTAAAAAGCATAAAAGTATCTTAAAAATAAAATATTGCATACACAAACAAGTTGTAAGACCAGTACCCCACAGTGTTTTTTGTTTCGTTTTTTTTTTAGTGAATTTTAGAGAAGCTGTCAGAAATGTTCTTAGGGCCGTAAAAAACTTAAGGCCGTAAAGTCTACCCTTAATTAAATAATAATTATCACTATTTGAAATATCTGTAAGTATAAATATTAATTTTTTACTAGTTTATTGTTCAGCTCTGTTTGAAAATCAGTGTTTTATTCCATATAAGTTTTACTAAAAGGTATGTACAAAAACTTGAATAAACCATTCTGCCAGTGAAATTTGAGAAACCCCTACAAAGCTAGTCAATCAAGAATGAGAACAAATAGAAAGAAAATATGGTTGGGAACTAATGTCTGGTTTGTGGAGTAAATAGAAAGTAAGGAAGTATGACAATTTTTGAGTTTGTCAAAAGTTTAAGAATACCATCTTAAATAGTTGGCTCTAAACCATGAATGGACTTTTTCTTTTTTTAAGAGACAGAGTCTTGCTGTCACCTAGGGTAGGGTACAGTGGCACAATCTTTGCTCACTGCAGCCTCCACCTCTTGGGATCAAGCAGTCCTCCCACCTCAGCCTCTTAAGTAACTGGGATTACAGGTGCACACCACCATGCCTGGCTAATTTTTTTTTGTTTTTTTTTTTGTTTTTTTTTTTTTGTAGAGACAGGGTTTTGTGCTGTGTTGCCCAGGCTGGTCTCAAACTCCTGAGCTCAAGCAATCCTCTCACCTTGGCCTCCCAAAAGTGCTGGGATTATAGGCATGAGACACTGTGCCCAGCTGAATGGACTTTTTTAACGAGAAAGTTTCATTGAGTTTACTACTTTAGTTTTTACTAAACCAGACTCCCTTAGCCTTCCCTTCTTCTCCCTAGAAAACAAGTCAGTGTGAAACCAGTTAAAACCACATATTCATTATCCATATATTTATTACTTCTATTATTCTGTTTAGTGAGATTTTCCCAACTTAGGAAAGGAATTACTTGATTTTTCTCTTTTTTACCCCAGACCTGGAGACCAAACCTGCAACCAAGAATGCTACACGGACAAAGGATATTTCTGAAGATTTATCACAGCAGGCCATAGTAGAGAAACATACAGAGAATGGTCTATGGGATTCCAGAATAGAAGGGTTATGGAAATGGAATGATAGGATATTGAGATTCCAAAATAATCAGGAGAATCATTTGAGTCAAAGAATAATTACACTCAAGAAGACTCCCTCTAGTCAAAGAGGGTTTAGATTTGAATCTATTCTTATTCCAGAACCAGATGTTCCCACAGAAGAGGTTCATAGCAGATACCAAACACAAGAGGAAAATTTCACAGAAAATATAGATTTGATTACAGACACCCATTTGGGAAAGATAATTTGCAAGGAATTGAAAGGCAGCAAAGCCATAAAGCAGACTTCAGAACTTACTTTGGGGAAAAAATCCAATAATAAGGAAAAACCCTACAAATGCAGTACATGTGAAAAGGCCTTTCGTTATAGGTCATTGCTTATTCAGCATCAAAGAACTCACACTAAAGAAAAACCTTATGAATGTAATGAATGTGGGAAAACATTCAGCCAGCCTTCATATCTCAGTCAGCACAAAAAAATTCACACTGGAGAAAAACCCTATAAATGTAATGAATGTGGAAAGGCCTTCATTGCTTCTTCATCGCTTATGGTACATCAGAGAATTCACACTAAAGAGAAACCTTATCAGTGTAATGTGTGTGGGAAATCTTTTAGCCAGTGTGCCCGTCTTAATCAGCACCAGAGAATTCAAACTGGTGAGAAACCTTATAAATGTAGTGAATGTGGGAAAGCTTTTAGTGATAAATCAAAACTTGCAAGACATCAAGAAACTCACAATGGTGAGAAACCCTACAAATGTGATAATTGTGGGAAAGCCTTTAGGAATAAGTCGTATCTTAGTGTACATCAGAAGACCCATACTGAAGAGAAACCATATCAGTGCAATGAGTGTGGGAAGTCTTTTAAGAATACCACAATTTTTAATGTGCATCAGAGGATTCATACTGGAGAGAAACCTTTTAGATGTAATGAATGTGGAAAAGCCTATAGAAGTAATTCAAGCCTTATCGTACATATTAGAACCCACACTGGGGAAAAACCCTATGAATGTAATGAATGTGGGAAAGCATTCAACCGCATTGCAAATTTCACAGAACATCAGCGGATTCACACAGGAGAAAAACCGTATAAATGTAATGAATGTGGGAAGGCATTCATTAATTATTCATGCCTTACTGTACACCACAGAATGCATACAGGAGAGAAACCTTATAAATGTAATGAATGTGGAAAGGCCTTCATGCGTTCTTCTTCTCTAATTATACATCAGCGTATTCATACTGAAGAGAAACCATATCTGTGCAATGAATGTGGGGAGTCTTTCAGAATAAAATCACACTTAACTGTACATCAGAGAATTCACACTGGAGAGAAACCATATAAATGTACTGACTGCGAGAGGGCCTTCACCAAAATGGTAAATCTCAAGGAGCATCAGAAAATTCATACTGGAGTGAAACCCTATAAATGTTATGACTGTGGAAAGTCTTTTAGGACTAAATCATACCTTATTGTACATCAAAGGACACATACTGGAGAAAAACCATATAAATGTAATGAATGTGAGAAAGCCTTCACTAATACATCACAGCTTACTGTGCACCAACGAAGGCATACTGGAGAGAAGCCCTATAAATGTAATGAATGTGGAAAGGTTTTCACGAGTAACTCAGGCTTTAATACACATCAAAGAACACATACTGGAGAGAAACCATTTAAATGTAACAACTGCGGGAAAGCATTTAGCCAGATGGTACATGTCACAGAACATCAGAAAATCCACAGTGGAGAGAAGCCCTATAAGTGTGATGTCTGTGGAAAAGCCTTCAGGAGAGGTTCTTACCTTACAGTGCATTGGAGAACACACACTGGAGAAAAACCCTACACCTGTAAGGAATGTGGAAAGGGTTGCATTACTGTATCACAGCTAACCCTACATCAGAGAATTCATACAGGGGAGAGGCCCTATAAATGTGAAGAATGTGGAAAAGCCTTCAGAACTAACTCAGACTTTACTGTACACTTGAGGATGCATACTGGAGAAAAACCCTATAAATGTAATGAATGTGGAAAAGCCTTCAGGAGTAGTTCAAGCCTTACTGTACATCAAAAAATACATCAGAGAGAAACTCAGTCAATATGAAGATGATTCATCCAGATGTCAACTCCAGAAGATGAATCTTATAAACTATGTATTATGAATATAGGAAAATCTTCATTAGGAATTCATCAGAAAGTATACAGAGAAGCTCTATAAACAATTATGTAGGAAATAATTTAATAATATTAAATTGTAGAAGTTATAAGAAAACTATTACTAGAGGAAAATAATGAACAAATGAAAGCTTTCATCCAGATTTCATACTTTACTCGTTTAACAAATTATCTTCAGTTAATTGTCTATATATGTATTTGCCTGTTTTTCTATTCATTTATCTGTCTTTTCTTATAAACTTGGAGGAACTTTTTAATATATTTTAGGTATTAATTCTTTGTCATTATGTACCATGTTTTTCTTAATCTAGCATTTGTCTTTATACTTTTTAGTAATGGCACAATATTTTTTAAAGAAAATATTTATATAATTTTCTTTTTAGATTTTTTATTTACTCATTTTACTTAAAACAGATCTCCTTAATGTCTAGGTTATGCGTAGCATCCTAAATTTCTTTTTAAGATTTTGATGATTTTATTTTTTACATTTAAGTCTTTAATCCCCCGGACTGGATGGTTCTTCATAGGAGAGCAACTCTAAGTGATAATTAACCCATGAAAAGATTTGAACCTAAAAAGTACTCAGGGAAATGAAAATTGAAATGACCAGTGAAATGAAACTTCCCCTTCATGGATTTGCTAAATGTTAAGAGATCTTTTGCTGTTGGGGTTTGGGAAACCATGTATCATTTAAAGGTTATATAACGTATTTCCACCGTCAGTCCAACAATATACATTTAAAAGTTTAAAACATATATACTCTTAGACCCAGCAGTCTCACTTTTGGAATCTGTCCCATAGAAACAAAAGCAGCATCAATGCTTAAGAATATAAATAAACATGTTTGTTGAAGTATTGTTTGTAGAAGGGGCAAAGCCCCAACTGCAAACAAAGTGAATGCCCATTAATATGGGAAATGGTTAGATAAATTGTGACATATCCATATTATGAAACAGTGTGAGAGTAATTTTTTAAATGAATTATATACTAGCTTATTTCAATGTATTTCCACAATGTATGGTAAATAATTGCTTTATAACAAATGTATTTCAGTATATATATATATATATATATATATATATATATACTGTATTTCATTTTTGTTAAAATAATCATACTCATTTATTTTGTATTTATGTATGTGTGTGATTAGATGTACATGGAGACAGGTATGGAAGAATATACACCAGGCTGTTAATATTGATTACCTTGAGGGGAGAGAGCAAAGGAGAAGTAGAGTTGAGGGGAGAGTATAAAAACAGAAAATTGTAAATGCTGCACATATGTTCTAAAACTGTGTATGTAATATTTTGTATTTATGTGAACATTTGAGAGATGAATGAAAGCATGTTCTCCAAAAAATTAATGATGGTTATTTCTGTTTTAGTGAAGTGTCAGGTATTTTTTGTTTGTTTTTTACTTTCTTTTCTGTGTTTTTAAGTTAAATTTTTCTTTGCAATGAACATACAATATTTATATAAAAAGGAAAAATCTTTTTATTGTGTACTTTATTTGTTGGGCACCTTCAATGTGCAGGACCTACCCTCAGTACTGGATATGCAGTGAGGGGGAGAGGTGCTCATGGATCTGAGAGCATGGAAATTGGTTCTTATGTTACCCAAATTCCAAAAAAAAGTTACTTAGCACCTTATTCCCACCACTGACTTTTATTTGTAGGAGGTGATAGAAATTCCAGATAGATGAAAAATATGCCCAAGAATATCTGAAACTTGTACCCAGAAAGTAGACCAGAAGATCACAAGCCTCAGAATTTCCACTTTCAACATGCCATCAAAGAAAAGGTCACAGTGGCAACAATGGGTGACTTTATGGATCTATGTAAAGTCTCTCAACTTTGCATAATGAAGCATAGAAAGAGAAAATAGCCAATAACTCCCAAGTCTATAAATGAGGGCTTGGAAGTTCTGGGAACACTATGAAATACTTCTGCTAGGAAGGGCCTAGAGTAACGGTGGGAACCCAGAGGCTGTGGCCCGGATACCAGAAGGCCCTAACACACCAAAGACCTGACATCCAAAAGAACAAGGCATGATGAGTTAACACTTCAGGGAGGCTAAGAAAAGAAGAGCAAATACCCATTTCACGATGCCAGGGTAAATATATATTTAACATTGGGAAGGAAGTAGAGGATGAATGATGTGAATTATCTTCCATCATAAATGAACAACTTGACATTCAGGTTAGAATGACCATTTTTGATTGAAGTTTAATAGTGAAACTTATTAACTGTTACTAAGAGACTAATCCTCATTGAAGATAGTTAATGTACCACTTTCTGACTGAAAGGTTGGAGAGTCAGACCTTTAAGAAGCCTTGCTGTCACAGAGTTCAATGTGGCATAATGTCAACAATGTTGATCCCTCCATTCTGCCTCCAATCCTCACTACAACTAAACCCTGCCTCCCATTCCTGCGTTAGAGGCAAGCACTTCAAGATGAGGAACATGGTCAGCAGGTTCAAATGAGAGAAGAAGTGAAAAGTGTCCATTGAGTAAGGGCCTGGGGATGACCCGCACCAACCTGACTAGAGTTTGAGTGGCACAGTGAGCTGGCAGGGTCTGGTTCTTGTGCATGCCACTATTCCATTATGGGTTTAATTTGTGCTTCCTCAGTGGATAATACTGTTGAACACCTCTTTCTATATGTGTTGGCTTTTTAAATATCTTCTTTGAGAAGTACCTTTTCAAGACTTTTGCCATTTTTTAATCGGGAACTGCTTTTTGCTCACCTGTAGGATCCTTTATATATTCTGGGGACAATTTTTTTTAGATGTTTGTATTACAAATATGTCATCTGCAGTTACCTTTTCACTCTCTAAATGATGTCCTTTGATGAATATAAGTTCTTAATTTTGATAAAGAATAACTTTCCTTTATGATTAGTGCTTTTTTTCCAAGTTTAAGAAATATTTTCTTAACTCAAGGTCATAAAGATATTTTTCTACATTTTCTTCTACATATCTATTTTATGTGTATGATCCATCTGAAATTAATATTTGTGTATGGCATGGAGTAGAGTTTAAAGTATTTTTCATACAAATAAGCAATTTGTTCAACATCATTTATTGAAAAAGCCATCTTCCCTTTTTTTTTGTATTGCAGTTAAACATTAATGATAAATCAGATGATCATGCATGTTAGGGTCTTTTGGACTATTCTATTTCCTTGTTCTATATGTTTATTATTGTACCAATACCAAATATTTTAAATGAAAACTGATAGTATAGTTGACCTTTGAACAATTCAGGGGTTAGGGGAACTGACTCCTCACACTATCAAGAATCGTTGTATAACTTTTGAGTTCAAAAACTTAACTACTAATAACCTATGTTTGACTAGGGGCCTTACCAATAACAGTCAATAAACACATATTTTGTATATGTATTATATACTGTATTCTTAAGTAAGCTAGAGAAAAAATAAGATTAAGAAAATCATAAGGAAGGGAAAATATATTTACTGTTCACTAGGTAGAAGTGGATCATCATCAAGATCTTTATCCTCATCATTACTTTGAGCAGGCTAAGGTGGAGGAAGAAGTGGAGGGGCTGGTCTCAGGTGGCAGAGGTAGAAGTAAACCCCTATGTAAGTGGTCCCACACAGTTAAAACCTGTGCTCAAGGATCAACTGTGTATGTTTTCTAATTTTGTTCTTGTTCAAAATCGTCACTGCTATTTTAGGTCCTTGGCATTTTCATATACATTGTTGAATGATTTTTTTTCAATTACCCCATACCAAAAAGCTAGGATTTTGTTGGCATGACATCAAAAACATAGGTTAATTCTGGCAAAATGAATGTCTGAACATGAATATTGAAACATTCAATCTATGAGTATTCCAAATGTTTTTATTTATATAGATACATTAATTGCAACATTTTGGGTTTTGTTGTTTTTGTTTGGCCTTGCTTTGTCACACAGGCTGGAGTACAGTGGTACAATCTAAGCTCCTCTGGGGCTCAAGTGATTCTCCTGCCTCAGCCTCCCAAGTAGGTGGGATTACAGGTGTCTGCCACCACACCCACATAAGTTTTTGTATTTTTTTTTTAGCAGAGGTGGGGTTTCCCCACGTTGGCTAGGCTGGTCTTGAACTCCTGACTTCAAGTGATCCACCTGCCTTACAAACCCCTGACCTCAAAATTTCAGCAGTTTTTGTATTTTTGCACTGTTTTGCAATTTTTTCCAATTATAGAAGTTATTGTATTTTTTCAGTTGTAGAAGTTTTGTTAGATTAGTACTATGTATTTGATGTTTTGGATGCTATGAATGCTATAGCATTAAATGTTGATTATTACAACATAGGTATATAGTATATGTCATATATACATATATATGGAATAGATTTTTTTCAATGATAGAAGTTATTGTATTTTTTCAGTTGTAGTTTTGTTAGATTAGTATTATGTGTTTGATGGTTTTGATGCTATAAATGTTGTAGCATCAAATGATGTTGTTACAACGTAGGTATACAGTATATCTCATATATGTGTGTGTGTGTGTGTGTGTGTATACACACATATATATGAAATAGATTTTTTTAAACCTGATCTTATATGCAGTGACCTTGCTAAATTCACTTATTTATAATTGTTCATTCTTTTTGACTTTCTATATACACAATATGTCATCTGTAGTAAAGTCAGTTTTATGTCATTCTTTATAATCTTTATACCATTTTTTTCATGCTTTATTGCACTGGCTAGGACCTCCAGAAATAGTATTTGTAGACATCCTTGCCTTTTTCCCAGAATCTAAAGGAAAGCAAAACAGTCTACCATTTGGTATGACTTGAGGTGTAAATTTTAGGTAGTCTCTATCACTCAAATTACTTTTCTGAGGTTTATTTTCAGGATGGGTGTTTAATTTTATCAAATACATTTTCTGCCACTATTGAGATTATTATAGTTTTTTATTGTTTATGTGGTTTGATTTTAAACATTTAAAAAATTTGTCATAAAATGCACATATAATTTATCATCCTAGCCATTATTATGTGTACAGCCTAGTGGTATTAAGTCATATTGTGCAACCATCCATCTCCAGAATGTGTTTCATCTTAGAAAGCTGAAACTGAATCCCATCACACAATGACTCTCCATTCCCCACTTCACCCCCTAAATCTATTCCATATGGAATATCCATATCCATATGGAATGTATATGGAATAGATTTAGGAAACCACCATCCTACTTTCTGTCACTATGAATTTGACTGCTCTAGATACCTCATATAAGTAGAATAATAAAATACTCGTCCTTTGGTAACTGGCTTATTTCCCTTAGCCTAATGTCCTCAAGGTTCATCTATACAAATTGATTTTTGAATATTAAAGCAATTTGCATTCATGGAATAGATTTCATTTGGTCATTATGGGTAATATTTTTAATGTAGTATTGAATTAAATTTGTCAAAATTTTGTATAGGATTTTATGTCTATGTCCATATTATCTTCTGTTTTTTTTCTTGTAATAGCCCTGTTTGACTTTGTATCAGAATGACGGACTCAACATGAGTTGAGAATTCCCTTTATTTTGTTTTTGGTTTTTCTGTCTGTTTTTGGTCCTCTGGAAGAGTGTATGTAAGATGTACAAGGTTGGTATTATTGGTATTGGTATTATTTTGCCATAATTTTTTGTGTAAACATTACCAGTGAAGCACCTGGGTCAGGAATTTTCTTTGTTGAAAATTTTTAACTGTAGATTCAATTATTTGATAGACATAGGATTAATCAGATTTTCTGTCTCTTGTATACATTTTGGTAAATTATTTAAAAAATTATGTCCATATAATTTCACCAAAATATCTTAGTTACTGGCTTTAAATAGTTTATAATATCTGTTTGTTGTATTTTTAATATCTTTAGGATCTAAAGTGATGTTCCCTTCTTCAGTCCTGGTGTTGATAATTTATGTACTCTCTTTTTGTTTTCTTGATTAGGTTTTCTCGAACTTAACGTTTATTTTTTTTTAAAACCCATCTATATTAACTATTATGCAGCTAACTTATTTCATGCTCCTATATTTTCCTCTATGTATTTTGTTTGGATATAATTTACTGGGTTTTTTTCTAGCTTCTTGGAATGAAATCTTAGATAAGCAATTTTCAACAATTCTTTTTTGCTAACATTTGTATTTAACACTATACATTTCTTTAAAGTACCTATCTATAGCTATATCAAACAGATTTTTAAAACCTTTATTGAGACATCAATTATATATAACAATTTGTACTCAGTTTAACTTTACATTTGATAAGTTTGGGCAAGATTTAGGAAATCTTGTTTATATAGCTACCACTACAATCAAGATAAACAAAATTTTCATCACTCTTAAAATTTCCTGTATTCTTTCCCAGACAATGCTTCTCACCTCTGACTCCAAAAGCTATAAATCTACTTTTTGTCAATATAGATTAGAATTATCTTTTCTAGACTTTCATATAAATGGAATTATGCAGCATATTCTTCTGTGTCTGCCTTCTTTCTCTCAGCATAAGGTTTTGCGATCCGTTAATATGGTGTGCGTCAGTGTTTCATTCTCTTATTGCTGATTAGCATACCGTTATATTAATATGTGACAACAATTGATTAACTCACTGGATGGTGGATGGTTGTTTCCAGTTGGGGGTTATGATTAATAAATCTGCTATGAACAGTCATATACAAGTTTTTGTGTAGACCTATATTTTTTCATTTATATTGCATCAATTTCTAGGTTTGGAGTTGCTAGTTCATATGATAAATATATGTAAAACTTTATACGAAACTGCCAATTGTTTTCCAAAGTATTTGTACCACTTTACAACTCACCAACAATGTATGATTTTTTTCACGTAATTTCATCCTTGCTAACTGAATTGTCAGGTTTTTTGTTTTATTTTGTTTTGTTTTTTTTAAGATAGAGTCTTTGTTCTGTTGCCCAGGCTGGAGTGCAGTGGCAATCTTGGCTCACTGCAACCTCAACCTCAAAGGTTCAAGTGATTCTCCTGCCGCTCAGCCTCCTGAGTAGCTGGGACTACAGGCATGTGCCACTATGTCCGGCTAATGTTTTGTATTTTTAGTAGAGATGGGGTTTCACTGTGTTAGCCAGGATGGTGTTGAACTCCTGACCTTGTGATCCACCTGCCTTGGCCTCCCCAAGTGCTGGGATTACAGGCGTGAGCCATCGTGCCCAGCCAGGTTTTTTTTTTTAAATTGTAACTTTTCTAATGTGTGCAGCAGTGCTTTAAGGTGGTTTTGCTTTGCATTTCCGTGTTGAGCATTTTTCATGTGCTTAATGGCCTTTATATCTCTCCACTGTCAAGTATGTTTAAATATTTTGCTCATTTTAAGAATTAAGTTATTGGTCTTAGTATTAAGTTGTAATGCTCTTTGTTTAGTCTAGATACAAGTCTTTATCATATATACATGTGAATATTTTCTCTCAGTATTAACTTCTTTTTAAATTTTTCTAGTGGTGTCTTTTGAAGAGCAGATGTTTTGGATTTGGATGGATATCAATTTGTCTTTTTTTTTTGTCATACCTTTTTGGTTCTTATTTAAGAAATTTTTAATCTACTCTAGGATCCTGAAGTTTTTTCTCCTGTTTTTTTCTAGAAATTATATGGCTTTGTATTTTACGTTTAGTCCTACACTCAATTTTGAGTTAATTTTTCTGTCCATAGGTTTTGTTGTATTTTATTATCATTCCATTAAAAATATATTCTAATCTTCATTATAATTTTTACCTTGACCCTTGACTATTTAGAGGTATGTTAATTGGTTGTAAAGCATTTGTGGATTTTCTACTTATCTATTACAGATTTCTAGTTTAATTCCAATGTGGCCAAAGAACACACTTTATTATTATTATTATTATTATTTATTTTTCTTTTTTTTGAGACAGAGTCTCACTCTGTCGCCCAGACTGGAGTACAATGGCACAATCCTGGCTCACTGCAACCTCTTCTTCCTGGGTTCAAGTGATTCTCATGTCTCAGCCTCCTGAATAGCTGGGCTTACGGGTGTGTGCCACCATTCCCAGCTATTGTTTGTTTTTTTTTTTTTTTTTTTGTATTTTTAGTAGAGATGGGTTTCATTATGTTGGTCAGGCTGACCTCAAGTGATCCACTCACCTCGGCCTCCCAATGTGCTGAGATTCCAGGTGATGAGCTGCTGTGCCTGGCCTCACACTATATTACTTTAATCCTTAGAAGTTTTTGAGACTTAACTTTATGACCCAGCCTTTGGTATATTTTCACTAATGCTTCATATTCACTTGAAAATAACATGAAAGTAAAAGAATTTTCACTTGAAAATTCTGCACTTAGATGTTAATGTTCTGTAAATACTAATTAGATCAAGTTGGTTAATAATTTTCTTCATATCTTCCACGTTCCTAGTGATTTTTTTTTCTTCGAGATGGAGTTTTGCTCTTGTCACCCAGGCTGGAGTACAATGGTGCAATCTCGGCTCACTGCAACCTCTGCCTCCCAGGTTCAAGTGATTCTCTTACCTCAGCCTCCTGAGTATCTGGGATTCCAACTGCCCACCACCACACCCAGCTAATTTTTGTAGTTTTAGTAGAGACAAGGTTTCACTATGATGGCCAGGCTGGTCTCGAACCCCTGACCTCAGGTGATCAACCTGCCTCAGCCTCCCAAAGTGTTGAGATTACAGGTGTGAGTCACCACACCTGGCAGTAGTGATTTACTCTTCTACTTGTCCTATCAACCACGAAGAATTGTGTCTTCAATAATCCACCTATGATTTTGGAGTTACCTTTTTCTTCTTTCTATCAGGGATTATTTTATATATTTTGAAACCATATTATTTGGTATATGCAAATTTAGTATTTTTATACATTCCTGTTGAATTGGCCCTTTTTCAGCATTAAATATGTTAATCTGTAATAATGTTTTACCATAAATTCTATTTTTTCTGATGTTAATAGGATCAAAACAATTCTGGTGTTTGCATGGTGTCATAGGCAGAATTCTAAAATGGTCTCCAGATTCCCAGTCCCTAGTGTACAGGCAATTTCTAGTTATTCAGTCAAACACTAAGCCAGGTGCTTTACAGATTTAATTAAGGTCCCAAATCAATTGACACTAAGGGAGAATGCCCATCAGTGGGTGTGACGTAACCAAGTGAACCCTTAAAAAGAATGGGCCCTTCCTGGTGAAAGATATTTAACACATGAGTGGAAGGGGTTCAACGTGAGAGACATTCACCATTGCTGGCTTTGAAGATAGAGGGGATATGGATCAAGGAATATGGACATCCTTTGGGAACTGAGAGCAGTTTGTAGCTGACAGAAAGGAAATGAGGACCTCAGTCCTACCACTGCAAAAAACAGGTGTGCTTACAAAGCTTGAGTGAGCTTGGATGTGGATTCTTCAGTACTCATCCCAGTTGACCCCTTGATTTCAACCTTTGAGACCCAAGGAGAGAATCTGACCCTCCATACTTAGACTTCTGACCTACAGAACTGCAGGCCAACAAATGGTTGTTGTTTGAGGTACTGTGTTGAACAGCAGCAGAAAAATAACATGCATAGTATATCTTTTTTCTATTAAGTCCTTATATTTCATGTGCATCTTTTGAAAGCAGTATATATTTAAATCTTATTTTTATTTATTTATGAGATGGAGTTTTTGCTCTTGTTGCCCAGGCTGGAGTATAATGGCACGATCTTGGCTCACCTGCAAGCTTTGCCTCCCAGGTTCAAGTGATTCTTCTGCCTCAGCCTCCCAAGTAGCTGGGATTACAGGTACCTGCCACCATGCTTGGCTAATATTTACAGTTTTTAAATTAGATATGGGGTTTCACCATGTGGGCCAGGCAGGTCTCAAACTCGTGACCTCAGGTTATCCACCCACCTCAGTCTCCCAAAATGCTGGGATTACAGGTGTGAGCCACTGTGCCCGGCCTTGAATCTTATTTTTAATCTAGTGCGACAATCTTTCTATTTTACGTGGAGTGTTTAATCAATTTACTTTATTTTTCTTTTCTTTTTTTTTGAGATGAAGTTTTCGCTCTTCTTGCCCAGGCTGGAGTGCAGTGGCACAATTTTGGCTCACAGCAAACTTAGTCATTCTCCTGCCTCAGCCTCCCAAATAGCTGGGATTACTGGCACTCCCACCATGCCTGACTAGTTTTTGTATTTTTAGTAGAGATGGAGTTTCATCATATTGGCTGGGCTAGTCTTGAACTTCTGACCTTAAGTGATCCACCCACCTTTGCCTCCCAAAGTGCTGGGATTACAGGTGTGAGCCACCATGCCTGGTCCCATTTACTTTTAATGTAATTACTAATCTAGTTAGGTTTAAGTATGCCATCTTGTTATTCTTTTCCTATTGGTTTTACTGGTTTCTTCCATTATTTCTCTTTTCATGCTTTTACATTAATAAAACACTTTCATTAGCCTATTTTCTACTCTATTCAATTTAATATACATCCATGTATTATCATTTTAGTGATTAACCTGTAGCAGTGATTCTGAAAATTTTTCATAATAATTCAAAAACATTATTTGCCTTTTCATTGTCATTTTTCTCATGAGTGTAGAGTGATGTTTTCTAGAAGCTACTTGACATGTGACATGCAAAGGATTTTATGAAGAGGATATGAGAATTCAGGTGTCTTTTATTAATTCATTCCCATAAAATAAACTGCTCTCTTCAAAATTCATATGTTGAAATCCTATTCCCCAGTACCTCAGAAGGTCACTGCATTTGGAGACAGAGCCTTTTAAGAGATAATTAAGTTAAAATGAGGCCTTTAGGTGGAGCCTAATCCAATCCGACTGGTACCTTTTTAAGATGAAGAAATTTGGACACACAGACATCAAGGGTGTACTCACACAGAGGGATTACCATGAGAAGCAATGGCAAAAAGTTGGCTATCAGCAAGCCAAGGAGAGACACGAACCCTGTAGCCACCTCGATCTTGGACTTCTAGACTGCAGGACTTCGAGAAAATAAATATCTGTTGTTTCGGCCACCCAATCTGTGGTATTTTGTTATGGCAGCTGTACATAGCAAACTAACACAGACACTAAAGAGATCTGCAAAAATGTAAAATGATGCCACTCTGCACTAATTTTTTGTTTTGAAAGTATTTTTATTGAAAATATCACTGTTGCAATATCAGGTAGTAGCTGGTTTTTAAAATAAATATTTTTAAATTTTTCCCATTTTAATTTCAAGTACAGTAAATATCAATATATACAACCCATATAAATAAAAACTCTTTGAGTTCCTCATAAGTTTTAAAAGTGTAAAGCAGTCCTGAGACTGAAACATCTGAAAATAATAGCCCTTAAAATTCCTTGTGAATCTTTGACTTACTGGAACACTCCTGAAATCAATGTTTTTCCATTTCAAAGCAATGAAAAAAAATAACAGTTTAATTCCATTTACTCCTTGCCTTTTGTTCCATTGTTGTCATAGATCTTTATCTCTATATTTATTTTAAACTCC